CTGGATCTATCTATCTATCTATCTATCTATCTATCTATCTATATATATATATATATATATATATATATATATATATATTGATAAAAACCGCCTGAGGATACTGAAATTTGAAACCAAGGTAGCGGATTCAACTGACCTCCTGATTTTTAAGGTTAAAAGCTCTACATATTTTTTTTTGTTGTTTTTTTACTCTTATTTTTATTTTTTCACACGTGTATTGAGCGCTTTTTAATACTACTGTTTCCTGATCTGATTAATTCTGAACATTAACCATTTAGGTATATAAAATTATATATAGATAGATAGATAGATAGATAGATAATTAGTGGTTAATATACGCACATATATATAAGTTTCAAGAGGATAGAATCCAGGTAGAACTCAATATCCAGGACAGAGTAAGGATATAATAAAAAGGCTTAAACACTAATATTTCATGGTTATAATTTATTACATTGGCTTCGTAATTACGATCCAATTCATCAGACCTACAAATTTATATATTTATATATATATATATATATATATATATATATATATATATATATATATATATATATATATTAGCTAGAGAGCGAGAGATAGAGAGAGGGGGAGACTGAGAAACCTTCACACAAATACGCGATACCTAATGTTTAAAATTAATTTATAAAAGTGATAAATCGTCTTGAAGCTTTTATTTTAGTTTTAATGGTCGAGCTAATAGATTATACTTAAGATTTCCAATAAGCTAAATACTTTGTTGTATTTCAAAAACTAATTTAAATTGAATGAAATGTTTTTTTTTGTTTTGTTTTTTTTTTTTGCTAAAATAGCTGATTAGCGCCCTTTTTAGTCGTCCTTCATCGCAATGTAATTATCTTTATTAAATAATCTTCCAAAAATAAAATATACCTTTCTGAATTATACATATATATCATGCTATATATCAGGTTTTTCATATGTATCTATCCCTCACGTAAATATTATAGTCCTGAAGATCAATAAACATTTTATTTTTGCTAATTCTACAATCGTAACTGTTTATTTGTTGTTTTTTTTATTCCCTCGGTGCAAACGGGTGTTGTAAAACGTAAAAAAAGAAAACGAAGAAAAGACGAAAGAATTGTGAGCCAAGTGGAGAGACTTTTTCACGGCTTTCACATCCATTTTTGTTGTTTTTTTTTTTTAGGTTTGTGTGTGTGTGTGTGTGTGTGTGTGTGTGTGTGTGTGTGTGTGTGTGTGTGTGTGTGATGTTTTATTCCGTGGTGGGGGGGAGAGAGCAAGGCGAAGTCGATAGACAGAAAGGTGAAGAGGTCGAAAGGAGAGCCAAGGAAAGTTAAGACATTGAATTATATGAACGTTTCACAGCGAACTATGCCGTTTGCTGCTAGGTCACATCAAACAACATCTCTGCCTTGTAAACGTTTTATGGTGGCCGTGCTGAGAGATGGAGACGACGATGATCGGGATAAGGTGATGGTGATTTCATTATAATGCTTAGGTAACATAATTAGTAGTAGTAGGAGAGTTGGTGATTTTCAAACTGTGAATCGGGTCACCTCGTTAATCTTTTTGGAAGCTGCTTTGAAATATCAAACACTTCTTCATTTAAAAAAAAAGAATGTCTTTGATATTTCCCCTGTCATATCCATCAAAAGCACTATTATCACAAAATAGAACTACAGCATTGTACCTTAAGTGAGTGTATTTTGTATCGTGTGCATGAACATCTTCGTCCCCGTCTCAAATTAATTGGTTCATTTCTGACTGACACAGGCGCATATGGCTGGCTTCTCGTCAATCAATTCGTCTGTCTATTTAGGACGCCGAGGAGGGAAAAAAATGGCTAAAGCTATACTCATAAGCCGTTGATTTATATATTGAACCCTGAGAACGTGGTACATCTTGTGTTTGACGACGTTTTAATCTTATCAATTTAATTCTACATCTTTCTTTCTCTCTTTTTCTACCAACCTTCGGCTGCACGGCAGAATTTCCTTCCGAAGCCAACAGTCGGCGTTCGAATTTAGGTGAAAACCATGCTACTGAAGCGTGCACACATTCTGACAAACTGAGTAATGTGTGCTAGACAATTTTCTACTAATAAAGACTTACACTTACTAATAAGACTTACACTTTCATGAAAACGTATTACATTGTTGGGAAACAAACATTATTTCATGCTAGCAAGTGTTTAAATCGTGAAAATAATTTTGGGTGCTGATTTTCAAGGTGGGGAATAGCTACATCTATAGACAGATGCTGCAGTAAAACATTCTTTACGCCTCATCACAACTACTACTATTACTGCCACCACCACCACCACTACTATTAATAATAATAATAATGAATTTGCTAACAGCCCCGATATTGTCATCAAAGACTTCAGAGAACATAAATTCTATGATCATACAACTAGATAACAAGCTTTCAATGGATGAATTTAATAAGCTCTCCAAATGTAAAGACTTGCAAATGGAAATTACAAAAAAGGTAGAATTTAAAAACAAGCGTTATT